CATTCCAAGCTTGAGGGCCTTTTTCTGAATGCTCAATAGGCCAGTTCAAAGTCTTCAAGCCTACATAATTACCACAGAGGTTTACTATGACTCACGAATGCATGTGGTTGTGGTGTGGGCTAGCCAGCCAAATGCAAGACAGTGAGCTCGTAAGTGCTCACAGTGATTGTGTCTCACGTTGGCCGCGACTTGATCACCAGGTTTGAAATCCGTCAGGGCAGGGCCCACGCTCTACACCGTGCCTGCGAAGGAGCTCCCTAGGATGCCGGAATATTGCAATGGATGAAGTAGAGATCTGTTTGACCGATATGAAAAACCGCACAGTTGGGTCTTTGGGATGCAAAAGACGGTCACTTTTGGTTTTCGAAGTCAACTGGCAGAAAAGCTAAACAGTCGTTCCTCAATTATACTTCTCCTCGTCCCGGTATATACATGTCAGCCGGACCAACTACAACATTGGCTTTGGGCTCTTTGCGCCATGCTGCTTGGTTCGACATGTTGAAGGGGTGATCGATGGAACCTATACTACCTTACAGTTCAGATAGTAAAGGTTGATAGATCTGAGACTACGAAAGACATTAGATTGCTCGGAATAAGAGCGGTTTGGGCGACTTCTTCCAATGGCCAATGCTGTTATCTCGGAGTTGGCTTTAAAATTCTCAGTGCTCTTGCTGAGCGTCAAAGCACTAATACCTTTCGCAGCTGTCTCACTCGGTTGTTCAGCGGGCTGGGCCCGGTCTTACTCGAACGCTCCCGCAGTCTAGCATACACGGGGACGACAGTGACTGCACGGAGTCCGTCGTAGCCCCGAAAGCGCGAGAGCCGGCAGGAGCCGGAACTGTCAAAAGAGGATGACTACAACGTCTCGGGAACTGCACGGCAGTAAGCCAGAGACCAACCCGAAGCGGGAATATCTGACATCGTTGGCCGATGCTACGCTTGCCGCAACCTCTGCTGACTGCGAAGAATTGTTAGCGATGCCATAAGGGCCTTTGAAAAATTAGTACTATACCATATCACGTCTTAAAGGGACATAATTACGATATTGTCGGCAATGGGTCAGTCTAGGATCTCTTCGGGCCAAACGCCGACCGGTCGGTGAGCGGGAGCTTCTACAGCATGTCGGATATTTTGCAGTCTCTGTTTCTACAAGACACAACATCGGTGCCATTGGGTAGACAACCTTAAGAAAGAGCTCCGTCAAACCCTTAGGCCTCACTCTCATCACATCAGAAAATTAGACCCTCTTGTACGTCCGACAGCGCTCGGTACTTCTGTAGAACAAGTCTTGAATTCTAGGGAGATCTCACACGATGCCTCACAAGACAGCAAACCACTCGGTCCACATAGTCCTCGGCACAGCAGGATTTGGCTCAGCCAAAGACCCCCAAGCCAAATTCAACGATGCAACCAGCGCCACCCCTCTCCTCGATCTCTTCCGCTCTCACGGCCACACAGAACTCGACACCGCCCGCGCCTACCCGGTCGGAGCGGGCGGAACCGCGGAGGAACTCCTCGGCCGTCTCGAGGTCGGCTCGTGGGCCACGGTCAACTCGAAGGTGAAGTCCTGGATCCCCCACGCGCACCGCAAGGAAGGCATCGAGAAGAGCGTGGCGGATTCGCTCGAGGCGTTGAACGTGGACAAAGTGCACATCATGTTCCTCCACGCGCCCGACAGGACGACGCCGTTCGAGGAGACTTGTCGGGCGATGGATGCCGCGCATCGCGAGGGGAAGTTTGAGCGGTTTGGCCTCAGTAACTTCACGGCGGAGGAGGTTGACGAGGTGGTGGCTATATGCGAGAAGGAGGGGTTCGTGAAGCCAACGGCCTATCAGGCCAAGTATAGTATCATTGCGAGGGGTTCGGAGGAGGACTTGTTTCCTGTGCTACGGAAGCACGGGATTAGCTTCCATGCTTACAGGTAGGTTCCCTCGCTGGCACGGGCGGCCTCAGGTGCAGTTTGGTCCGTATGAAGCTGACGAGGCGTCGACAAGTCCATCTGCGGCGGGCTTTTTTTCCGGGAACGTCACCCGTGAATCTGTCAACTCCTCTGGATCACGTTGGGACTCGGAAGTAAGTATAATGTTGCATTCTTTCTCGGTCTAAGATGCCTGACTTACCTACATACTTTCATTCAACGAAGACTCGATGATGCTGACCTCTTTCCCACCGCAGACCCTCCTCGGCAAAGTCTACCAGGGCGATTACTTCAAGGACGAGATCTTCGCTGCCGCTACACGGGTCAAAAAGTCGGCTGAAGCCGTTGGGCTCACAGGCCACGGAGTGGCTCTTCGATGGACCCTGTATCACTCATTGCTAAGGGCAGAGCATGGGGATGCGATCATTGTGGGATGTTCCAGCCTCGCGCAGATGGAGCAGAACCTTGAGTACATCGAGCAAGGCCCGCTGCCGAAGAACCTGGTTGAGGAGATGGGGCAGGTTTGGGAGAGTGTAAAAGCAACGGCGCCGAGCTATCATAAGTAAGGCGGTGGTCTGAATGAATGAGAGAGTGCGCTCGTTGGATGATTTGTGGTTGACATGTGCAAGTGGCCTGTACTGGAGTGTCAGAGTAACATGTTTTGAGTAAACCTTGAACTGTCAAAGAACTATGTGGCTTCTTGATTTTTCGAATAAGTAAACGCATGGGAATATTGACACTTAAGACACAAAGATTGGGGAAGACTACTACTCGATTCACTGATTCTGGCACTGTTCTTGAGAAAAAGCTAGCAGGACCAAGCACAATTGGCAACGTAGACTCACTACGCGGACTATTCGGGCCATCCATTGCTCCAGTGACAGTCAGTATTTGAAAAACGAGCGGAAGAAGCCCAAGGGTGAGTAGTTAGGTGTCATGTGTCAATAGCAAAGCCCAAGGATCTGTGCGTCAAGACAGCAATAAATGTTGTAAATGCATTCGTAGGAGGCCACTCCCTTTGATATTGTCTATGATAGTTTCTGACTTCAGTGTTGATTATTCCAAAGCGATCGAAGGAAGGTGTCGAATAGTCGGGGAAGTGTCCCTTCGACACACCCCTACGAGAAGTCTGAGCTTTGGGATATTTATTTAGAGAACACCTGCAGCAGTGCGAGGGTAGAAGAAGTTCGAGATTTCTCCAGCACTGATTGGCGTGGAAAGGAGGAAAATTTCGAGAAGAGAGGTCTTCAAACCGCTGCAAGCGGGGTCGACTTTGAATCCGGTCCTGTAAATGAGATGGAACGACTCCAGCGTGTGGCTGATTTTGCGGCGGCTGCTAGCTTTAACCCCCCAAAAAATTCAGGCATCCCCCCCAAGGTAAAAAACACCCTCCCCCCCCCCCCCCCCCCCCCCCCCCCCCCCCCCCCCAAAAAAATAAAAAAACCCCCCCCCCCCCCCCCCCTTTTTTCCCCCCCCCCCCCCCCCCCCCCCCCCCCCCCCCCCCATTTTTAAAAAAAAAAAATTTTTTTGAAGAGGGGGGGGGGGGAGGAGAAAGCACGGGGAAAAAAAAAAAAAAATTTAATTTAGGTAGAGGAAAATAATTTTATTATAAAAAAAAAAAAAAAAAAAAAAAAAAAAAAAAAAAAAAAAAACCCCAAAAAAAAAAAAAAAAAAAAAAAAAAAATCCTCCCCTCCCCCCCCCCCCCCCCCCCAAAAAAAAAAAAAAAATAAAAAAAAAAAAACCCCCCCCCGGGTGTTTTTTTTTATAATAAATTTTTTTTTTTTTTTGGCAAATTCGGATAATATCAAACACTCGACAGTCTCCCCTGAAACCTTGCCCGTAACCTGATGATCAGCCCTCAGTGGTGGCTAAAGCTCTTGCCCTTGAAACGAGAGCGCTGCAAGGGCATAGGATACTTTTCCATGAAGCCGCATGTCCTTGAGGTGCAAATCGCTTTTGCATTATCTTTGTATTCCGTTCGTCTTACAATTTTTTTTAGCAATGATAAAGACTCGATTACAGAATCGTTCGTAACAACAAGGTGCATACAAACAGCAATCAAAACAATTAGCTTAGGACGCTACCATGCTGTTTGCGAATATGTCTAAGACAATCATCACTCTGTGCAAACCCTTTCGTCGAATACTCGCAGTCCGCAAAGGTGCAGGAGTATTGGTTGCTCCTGCGATTGCTATGACGGCTGGAAACATGGCGTTGGCGATCTCGAGATCGATAGATGCCTTTGGCGGTACAGCCTGCGACGCTACGGGTGTAATCCTTGTTATGGATTTTGAGATGTTTGCTGTATAGTTGCGTCAGCTTTCTGTATAGACGAACAGTCGGCACGAAGCTCGAGACGTAGGCCTAACTCGGACATACTTGTATTTGTGCTTCTGCGAAAATTCTTTGGGGCATTGTGGACAGCGTAAGGATGGATGAGGCCTCTTTCTCTGGGTATCATTAGAGCTACCAATGTTCCCGTTATACGTTGAGTGTAGAGGATACGCGGACAATTTGGACGGCACAATAGGGACTGGGTCAAAAGACAAGGGTTGCGATTTCGATTCTGCTGAAAGTGTAGGGTCTGACGGAGAAAGAGCCTGGACGGTCGAGGGAGGGGCTTCATATTTTTCAAGCTCAGCATCTGCCTTCCATGACTCGTCTGGCAGATATGAGCTGGTTCTCGTTCTGCGGCTGTTGATATGTTGCTATGAGGCTTCAGTCTTACTCGATAATCATGGGAGCAAAGTGACTGACTGCGGGAATTCGCCGTCCATACTGTGTGACACTGTTGACAATAAAGAGTGACCCTGGGAAAGAGCAGGAAGACTGGGAAATGGAGATTCGACCGACGGACGCCCGCACCAAAAGATCTTGCGGATATACAAATTGGGGGGGATAGCTTGTTTCGTATCCTTCCGTCCCGTGGCGGCTGCTTTTGAGTCCCAGAAAACCGACGGTGGTCGATTCCCAGGAGCTCTATCATCCCGAACGTAGACGTGAACAAGCTGTTGCGCGACTCAGCGCAACATCGTGTTACAAGACCTCGATAGGCCTTCGATGCTACTCGAACAGTGACGTCTATACCTCAAACACCGCAGAGTGCATCCGAAGCCGGCAGGATAGAGCCTGGAATGCTGCTCTTCTGCGTTCAAGATTGGTCTTGATCACTTCTAGAAGTGACATGCCCTCGACGGGAATCTCTTCTGGTCTAGTACGCTCACTCGCGTCCGACGAGGCCTCTTCCGCAAGAGCTCTATAGTTGCTATCATCTGCATTGTTCCGATTGGTGGTTTCGATGACGGACGCGTCTTGCTCTGCGCGTAGTTGTCTAGTTGAAGTTGGTGCCGTCTCTTTCGCAGCCAAGTCCATTATAGGGAAGTTTATGAGAGGAAGGAATTTCGGAATCTGAATGTGATTAGAACCTCGCGCCCCAGGTGTACCGCCAGGAAAAGTGGCAGTTGGAGTGGTGGAAACCCCTTGAATGTTGACATTATCAGCACGAACTTCGAGATTTATGGTCTTCGAAGATCTTAGTTCGCTCTGTTTCTGCACGTCTGTTGCCAGATTATTGGCTCGTTGCCTATGATTAATTGAGAGGACGCCAGTGCCCAGGGCTGTCCCTTTCCCTGGCAGCTTTCCCTGGCGCTAAGTAGCAAAGGCTTAGCTAGAAATGTAATTCATTGAGTTGCAGAGCAAACGTACTATGATGAGCTCGACCTGCAGCTGCTTGCCATGGTGTAGAGCATGCCTTCAAGCCAAGCCATCCAAGTGCAGTCCACAACTCCAGCCCTCAAACTCACTGCAACATAGCGACCAAACACCTCCCGTAATCTCCACTCGTTTCCCCCCGAACTCTCCCAATCAGATCCTGCCTATACCTCGCCTTATACGCCCCTTTTACTTGCTGCAGATGCGCCGGGTTCCAATGCAGCTTCACGATCCTGGTAACCAACATTTCATCCTTCGTCCCCATCCCTGCCATGGCATGCTCGATGTTGATAGCGTCCCGCATCGCCCTATCAGTCCCGCATCGGACCATTTGCACGAGAACGTCTTCCATATGACCCGAGAATTCGTGGATAAAGACCTTTTCAAGCGACCGTCGGTATCTGTGTTCGTATGCGTGGGCAATTGCACGAACCTGCGCGTCAGAGCGCTTGCTGAGGATGGAACAGACGGTCAATTGTTCGGCGCCTACTCTAGCTTCTGTACAGCGGTGGATTTCGGTGACGTCTGCTTCGATCGATTGAGGGATCACTGGGGCTGATTCTTCTTGTCGGGTAGCGGAGAGTATCATAGAGAAGAGACGTTCAGTCTTAGCAGAAAGGTCATCGCGGACGTCGTGCTCAAGACTGCGGTGATAAGTGTGGTGGTAGGCTTGTTTGATGGCTTGCATATCGGCGTTGGAGCGGCCGATTAGAACTTCGTTGAGGAGATCCTCGTCGGTTCCGGCACCTTTGAGGGCTTTATTCAAACACCAGACGTCTTGTTGAAGGGGACCTCGAAGGATAGAGAGAAGGCAGAGCTCAAAATGTCCGCTCACTTCCTTTTGGACATCGTGTTCTAGGTCGCGGCCATGCCGTTGTCGGAAAGTCTCCTTTATGACTGGGACTTCGAGTGGTGCGATTCTTGTCAGAACTCTGATAAGTGCAGCTTCATCCGTACCGAGCCCTTTCATGGCTTTCCGACACTCGTCTGCTTGACGAGACATATCGACATGGGCTACTTGGCCAGGGACGTATCCAGGCGAAGGTGGAGTCGGCACTGTCTGAGGGGCGCCGTAAGATTGAGGTGGCGGAGCTCCATAAGGTAACGCTTGGGGTGGGGCACCATAAGTGTTTTGCTGTGGTGGTGGAGGTTGTCCATATCGCTGATTTGGAGTAGGGGCACCATACTGCTGTGGTAAATATTGGCCTTGGGGCGGTGGTGCTCCGTAAGGTGACTGTTGGGAGGGAGGATGCCCTTGCTGCTGTGGATTTGGGCTCTGAGGAGGAGCCCCATAAGGCTGTTGAGGTGGAGGGTATCCTTGCTGAAGAGGGTATGGACTGTGAGAAGGAGCTCCGTACGGTGGTTGTTGGGGTGGTGGGTAGCCCTGGTTGTAATGGGCCTGCGGTGCATATCCTCCCTGCTGCTGCTGCTGTGACGGAGGCGGCCGACCTGGTCCGATTGTAGCACCTTGTAGATACCCTCCGTGTGGGGCTCCACTCTGGCCACCCTGCCCATAGCCTTGAGATGGTGGAGGAGGGGGACCATAGCTCTGGTGTTGAGGTGGGTATCCTTGAGGAGGGTATTGGTTCGGTGGAGGTTGCTGGTATCCCTCTGTCCAACAGTGAGTGAGTTCCAAATGGCAGATGAAAACCAGTATACTTACGTGGAGGAGGAGCGCCATATTGCTGTGGATAGCCACCTTGAGATGGAGGATACGACATGACTGGAGGGTTTCGCGAATCTAGCTTCAACAACGAAAAGAGAGATCGTATGAAATCTAAGGAAAAGGCTGCCAAAGACTCGGAATGTAGGGAGGAGGAGAAGGAAGAGGAGGAGGAGGAGAAGGGAGAATAAAATGATTGAAGTGAATGCGGGTCAGAGGAATTGAAGATATGTAAGACATGTTGAGGCTGTGTGCGATCCTTGGCGCTCACAAACATGAGCGGAGTAGAGTATTATGGAAGATTTCGGTACCTGCGCCTGAATGACGAACTCAGTGAGGCTGAGATGTGGCGTTGCAGATTGCCTGCATTAGCGTCGTCGATCATCGCGATTACAGTATCATCAGCGTGCTCGAACAGCTACAACATATTTCCCCTGCTGAATTTCAGGAAGACACGCTTCATTCATCCAGGTGGTTCTCATACTGCTCATCTCCAACAGTCGCTGCTCAGTCCTTGACCGTGACCACTCCAATTTCATTGGCATCCTTCTACAGGAATCCTACCATACTTTGGTCACTATTCAAGAGTCAAGATCCAAGGAGCGATGCTCATGGCGCGGCAGAATTTGGATTTATTCACAATTTCACGGGAAGTTTTCGGGGTCCGATGGGCTTTTGGTTCTCACGGAATCTTTACGGCACGTTATGGCTTCCGGGTCGTACTTTAGAAGCCGTAATCTGGGCTGCGGTCCTCAATTTGCAGGGTATTCTTCCAGCACGTTTTCCACACCGCATCCCAAGCCCAGTGAAAAATCAGAAAAACGTGAGCGTTTACAACATGGTCCAATTTGCTGCTTTTTTCGAAGTGTGCCACTTTTTCATCGGTTGCGAGCTAAATTGAAGAATCTCTGGAATCACTGACGATAAAGACTAGATCAACGACCTGTGAGAAGATAAGATGGGAAAGCTAGGTTGAAGGTCGGCCTGGCACTTCTTTCGACCCGCAGCTACGGTATCTCTTTGTTTGTCATCCTGAATCTCACTCCCATGATACGTTTTCTCCACCTTCCGTTCTATGTTGGACACGGCTTTCTCCCTGCTTCTCTGCTTCCCTGCTTCTTTGGCTATTGCCATATCATGGACTACAGTACTCACCGTTTCGGCCGTGCCATCAGACCGGCGGAGCCGAGGATATGGTCGTAAGATCAAGGATCAAAAGTCACCACCAACTCTTGGCAATGAAAGCAGCGTAGTCCGACACGTAGATCGCGAATCAGCCCAATGCAGATTCGTGTCCGGTTCCGAAAAGCCACGCCGATGGCTCTGATACGGGTTTTCATCTCCCTGATGAGCTGGGTCGAGATCTCTGCGACTGAGCAGTCGCTCAACTTGCGACATTTTTGGGCCAAGGTCCATGTTGAAAATATAAACAATTTGAGCGCTCGAGCAATCTTTGTTTGTAGACGGAGCTCGTTCCCTTATAATTTCTCATCAGATCAATCATCCTTTCATCGGCTTCTCAATCCCATCAAGGCTACTTCCAATCTCCCATTTCGGAAAGACTTGCACTCCTATTTTCCCTATCAATCTTAGCATCCTACGGGACAATTATTCCAAATACCGCGGTTGTCATGTGCTGCGCAGTAGTATTGTTCTGTGGCTTCCTCGTTAGAGCAGAGGAGATGTGTAAAGCTATCGCTAGGTGAAATCAGGACCTAGCTTCATACAAAGGGTCAAATGAGCAGACCTCTCCAAAAAAAGAAACACCATTTCGAAGCAGCATAGATGGTCCGTTGGCAATCAAGTCACCGTCGTAGCTCGGATGGATATTAGGCTCGCCGGACGGTATTCTGATCGATCGAACGAGACTCACAGAAATCCCCATCAGTCTCTCAAGGGGGGTAATTCCGTAAACAGCTCAATGTAGCTTGAGTCTTGAATGTCCGAGGTACGACCTAAGAATCTGGTACTTGGTCGCGTTGTTTATGGAACTGGGGGAGCAAAGCGACTTGACCCGGATGTATTCTATGCGTAGAGTATGTTCTGAAAACGCTTAATGCCGTTTGTACTTGTTCCATTATAAGAAATTCCAGTGCGTGAGTTGGTGATATTTGGAGGGGAGCAATAAATGGATTTGCAGACCGAGTTTGGAAGCCAATTTTTGTTGGAGCGAGACCGTCTGTTTTCAAACCCTCGGTATCAAGACCAGTCGTGACCGCCTTACACTCTACATAAATGATGCTCCCAGAATGTACAGTAGGGTGCAAATGCAGGTCCCGCAATCAACTGGCATCTCTCGGTTCTAGACTTTTAGCTCTCATGCATGCCGTCGTCATCATCCGAACGACATCTCAAGCTGCACGCCGTACCCCAACCCTCTCCGCATTCAGAGCGATGAAGTCAATCGCACTCTATACGGGAGAGATAATGCTCGCCTGCGCCCAAGAACATTGACTTGGCACTGCTAGCTCCATATAGCGCATTCTTCGCGCGAAAGTCTGAGCGTTAGAGCAGTCATTTCTCCTGGAAGAAAGACGACTATATGCTATGACAAGCACGAATCGAGGTTATAAAAAGCCTTCAAAGTTGGCATACCTAGACAGGAAGATTAGCCCATGGCTATGCCCGTTGGCGGAGTATATTGTCGGTCTCGGCCGAGGGATCATCTAAGATGTCCCAGACTCCTGGCCTCGCCAGCTCTACAACAGCAAAGCCAGCGGTCAAAGCACATCCTGGCCATGGCTAGTCGGAATTGGAAGCAATGATGAAATGATGAGGATGGTGGAGCAATCGGTGGATGCGACTTGGTCAAGAGTTTGGGGATTAGCGTTATCCCTGTCAAGTGGTTTCAGGATTGTTTAGAGTGTTGGAGTTGACTATCTAAGGTACTTCTAGGGCCCTAGGCTGGTGATGGTGGCCTCGGAGGCACCTAAATCTAAGACCTAAGCAGTCAGCAGAAGGTCGGAGTTAAAGCTCGAACCCCACATACGAGTACCATATCTTGTATAGCACTCGCTGCTTTCCAACGACTTCTCAGCACCCATCCTCCACGAACACACTACTTCTGCCTTGCGTTTTTAGCGAATTTCATATATCTCTGTTTCATTCAACAACAGAGCACCCTCGGATATTTCCTCACAGCCACCCCCACCTTCATCTCCCGGTTAGCCAGTCTCGTGTGCCTGGCTCGTGTCCGCCTTGAAGCCAGCGCAACCCAACCTGAACCTTACAGATTTGCCTACCACCCTACCAGCTACCGATAGCCATACAAATCGATTCTGAGGAGAAGGCATACACACCTCGCCCATCCTCAAGCGCTTTCGGTCCGAAACATTGCGCAAGATCGCCCGCACTTGCGCTCCAACAACAGACATGCGACAAGTTCCCTAGCTCAACCAGTATGTCTATGATAAATTGGGGCATTGGGGATCTTTTAGCCGTTACGAAGCTTGCTTGGGACCTCTATCACAACTGCTTCCTCGTTGCGCGCGAGGCGCCCGATGACTTCAGACAGCTGGTCAATGAGCTAGCTTCACTGCAAGCTTGTCTGCGCACACTACGGGACGATGTCAACTCCGACAAGTCCTTTCTGGACAGGCTGGGTGACAATAGAAAGCAGACACTGGAACGATGCTTGGCAAACTGCTTTGACACCCTGCGTCAACTGCAAAAGCTAGTGATCAAATACCGAGAGCTGGGCGTCGGAGATGGCTTGCAGTTCTGGAGGAAGCTGAAATGGGTGGGGAAACAAGGGGAGATCGCAGAGCTGAAGTCAAAGATTATGGTGCACACATGCAACATTAGTCTATGCATGAGCTCTATCGGGAAGTAAGTATTGACGTCCTAGCCTTACTTTGTCCCATCTATAGACCTACGCTAACAACCTTGACGCAGCTCTTCTCTTGCCAGGATAGAAACATCGATGATAAAGGCACTCGAAAGACAAGAAGCTTCGACTTCCGCTCCCCAAGCCCAAAGTCAGGATAAGGAGGAAGAAGACGAGGTCGATGAACTCAGCCCTCTTCAAAAAGCTAAGACTGCCCCACAGGCTGGCCGCAATGGGTCTCCAGAGGTTGAGGGCCTGGGATTACAAGGTTTACGGCGCGCGTTCACTGGAGCGACACTGGTGGATAATATGTCGAGCGTATCGCCTGAGACGACACCTTCAACAACAAGCGAAGAAGAGATGTCAGAATTCGGATCGCCCAAAATGGCCAAAGAGGTTCCCATATTCAAGAAGACCCCTACCCAAATGGGTAAGATGAGAAAGGAGTCATCGGCGAGTATAGATCATGGCCTCAAAGCTTTTCCACCGAGCCCTAGGATTTCCGAGGATTACACCAGGGAGATACCGAGAAGTAGTCCTGCTGGTGACGACCTGAAGAAGCCTCGCTCGAAAAGACTAATGTCGACTAGCGGAGAATCGGTAATGAAGAGCAATGGAGTTGGCAGCAAAGCTCCTAACGTTGTTGACGTCGTAGCTGAAGCAATGCAAGAGTTGGCCAGAGTCCGGCAAAGAGAGCAGTCAGCAAGGCCATTACGAATCGTACGGCAAGACCCCGTGCATAGACCTCATGATGCTCTCAAAGAGCGGTTCCAAGAGCTTGCAGAGGACGAACTAAAGATTCGGAGGTTGAATGCGAGAGATTGGCTGAGAGTGGCCACTTGGTGGCTACTGAAGGCAAGGTTTAATACGAGAGTAGATGAGCGGTCCCAGTACATGAGTACACGCGGAAGCCTCAGCGTTTCCGGAGTTTCTGGAGGAGGGAGATCTGCAATTAATCAAGCTTACGTTGACCTGCTGAAGGCTTCGTGGATACTTTACAACATAATATTGAAAGACGATAACGACAAGGCATCTTTGATGACAGACGAGAACAGGAAAATGTTTTACAACCTTTCAGATGGCATTAGCGAAGACCTGAGCGACTTCCAACCCGTTGACGCGCCAGAAAAGGATACACTCCTGTGCCAGAATTACAACATATGGGAGCTTCTTCAACCAGAAGAAGAGACGTATGATGAGGAGGACCTCCTACCCGGTCTGGAGAACGGTCG